CACCTCCCTGTTGGAAGTGCTGGTGCCACCCTAGAGCATTTTGGCTCTGGGTCTGTGGGCTGGGGCTCCTGCCCTGCCTCCTGGCAGGAAGGCCCCACATGAGCCTGAGCACAGTAAGGCAGCACTGGCTGCCCCCAGAGCTGCTGGCGTTGTCAAAACAGTGAAGGAGAGAAAACAAGTGGGACAGAACGCAGCAGTCAGATGAGATCCTTTGCCTGCTGTGACACCAGGCTACAACAGCTTTGTGTGGCTCTTGCAGCACCATAATCCAACAGGAACAACGCGCTTGCAATGAGGCACGTGCAGGAAGACAGATAGAAGAAAGGAAAATGCTCACAAGTCCCCTGCCAGCCTTCTGTTTTAAGATCACTGCAGGGCCCAGACATCTACGCAAAGTCACAGACAGGCAGCAGAGCCCTGTGACAGTGTGGAGAAAGGATCAGCTGGGGTAAAAGCAGGGAAGCTCTTAGAATATGGAATGGAAAAGCTGAAACTCAGAGGCTCAGCCCAGAAACCCCCAAGGGCCAGTTTGCTTGGGAAGAGAAAGCATGATAAGGACAGGGTAAGGGGGTCCTGGGACTGGAGAGCAGTGGGAAGCTGAGTACCTTTGCCACACAAACCTTGCAGGAAGGGTGCTGCAGTGCAGAGGATCTCCTTCAAGTCCTCAGCACTCTGTACCAGAGGTAGGCAGGCCCCCTCAGCAGGGACTTGCCATGTCTTCAGCAGGGACAGGAGCTCATTGTGCCCCTCACTGCAGCGACCTCTTCCTGTGTCCTGTGAACACAAGAGGACAGAGAGCAGGGAATGCTGCAGGGAAGCAGGAAACACTGATCCAAGGGCACAGGGAAACACTAAACCCTTTGACATTGCTCTCTGCACTGGGAAGCAATGTCCTACCACCCACTCACTTCAGATACAACCTCGTCACTGCATTGATTCCTGCCTGGCCTGGGGCAGCACCTCCCCACCTCAGAGTGGGGTTCACCTCAAGGGGCTCCTGGCAAGGCAGATCCAAGTGCTGTTGGAGTGCCTTCAGAAAGGTGGGACCCCTCAGCAGCCTCCCAATCAGCAGGAAAGTTCCTCTGCATCCAACTGCCTGCAGATTGTTCCCTACAGAGTCTACAAGTCCATCTGCAGCCCCATTCCAGCCTGCCCAAATCTCCTGTCTCACATACAGAGGTCCCAGCGCCCCAAAAGGCAGAATATTCTGGGATCCATTAGTGCACTCAGGGCCATTAGGCTATGCTGGAACACCAGGGAGAGCATTACTCATGCTGACTGGGCAGCACTGATGGTTTCAGGTGTCCAAATGCCACAACAACATTTTGCAGAGTGGGTTTCATGACAAACACAATATTTATGCCAGCTCTGCCAGCGTCTGCCCGTGTCCAATTACCTCAGCAGTGCTCAGGAGCCGGAAGAGGCCAGCAATGCTTCCCAGGCGTCCGGCTGCCAACCACCAGGCTGCCTGCAGGGCCCCCAGTCGGTGCAGAGGTGCCTGCAGCTCCTCCACTGTTACCTCCTGCAGCACCTTTTGCCACAGCTCCTCCATGCTGAGATCCTGTCCACAGGCCCCACAAGCCTCCAGAACTGAAAAAAAAAAAAAAACAAAACAGGCAAAAATACCCACAGCCATGAGACAAGTTGGACACCCTCCCGCAAGAGGGAAGAAAGCCTCAAGCAAGCATGGGCTCCTTGTAGCGAGGGAAGGAGTGGGGTTGCAGGGCTGGCCTGGCCTCAGCAGTACAGAAACCAAGCTCTCAGAGAGTGGAGTTGACAGCAGCACACTCAGGAGACAACACACGGCTCAGAGCTACAACTCCAGCTCTGCCGAGTCCTCTTGAGGTCACTTGCCCTCGGTAAGCGTGTACCAACACTGCAGATCCACCTCAGGAAATAGGCATGCAGCCTATTTCAGTGGGTTTTCTTTGAAGCCAGCACATCATAATTAAAGAAAACACTTAATTTTCTACTGTCACCAAAACTTCGCTTGTGACTTGGCACCTTACACCTTGAAAACTCTTGTTTCCCTTAAAACCTCTGGCCCATCCCTGCAGGGAGCAGCAGGCAGGCAGCTGCACATCATCCCTGGCCACAAGCCACCTCACCTCCAGCCCTTCCTGGTGGAGGCAGGTGTGCCTGCCCACTGCTCCGCTCCCTCTCCAGCCCTTCCAGGCAGAGCCAGGCATGTCTGCTCCCACCACATATCTCCAGAGCACAGAGAATGCTCCCCTCGCACCGAGGAGTCCCCATACAGAGGATCACCTCCTTACCCCTGAGGAGCCCCTGGCGTATTCCATCTGCTTGTCCCTCGATGGCAGAGTTGGACGCTCCCAAAGTGAAAAGCAGCGAGTTGTAGAGGACAGTGAGTTCCAGAGGCAGGGTAGGGAGGGCAACCGGCAGCCCTGTGGGCACAGCCAACCCAACAAGAAATTTAGCTGGCTGGGAAAAAACAACCATCCATTCCTAAGTGGCAACACCTGGCTTGGTGACAACAGAAGTGGCCTGGAAAGAATATTTTTTGTGATTGTGATTTGTGACCGTGGTGTGATTTGGGATTGTGGGGTGACTTGTGACTGTGGTGTGTTTTAGCACTTGGCCACTGCCCATAGACAGCACATGTCACCATTCCAGGTGCCAACTGCTTTATACATCCATTCCCCAGCTATCCAGGTGCTGTAGTCCTCCAAGACTGAGACCTTTCAGCTCTCTCCAAAGAACATCAATACCCTACTCTCTTTCAATACAAATCCACCCTTTCACACACATTTCATACACTGTGTCTCTCTCCTTACAGTATCTCAGAATGGGTCAGGTTAGAAGAAACCACAGTGGCTCATCTAGTCCAACTTCCCTGCTCAAGCTGGGCCATCCTACAGCACATGACACAGGACTGTGTCCAGATGCTTCTTAAAGTGAGGGTGACTCCACATCCACTCTGGGTAACTTGTTCCCGTGCTCAGTCACCCACACAGTAAAGAAGTTCTTCCTCATGTTCAGGTGGAACTTTCTGTGCATCAGCTTCTGCCCATTGCCTCATGTCCTGTTGCTCAGCACCACCGAGCAGAGCCTGGCTCTGTCCTCTGACACCTCCCTTCAGATACTTATAGATATTGATGAGGTCCCCTCTCAGTTGTCTCTACTCCAGGATGAACAGGCCCAGCTCCCTCAGCCTTTCCTCATAGGACGCCCCAGTCCCTTGATCATCTTTGTTGCCCTCTGCTGGATCCCCTGCAGGAACTCCTTGTCTCTCTTCCAGTGAGAAGCCCAGAACTGGAACTCAGGCTGCCTTCCATCAGGCTCCCTCTGCACCACAGCTGTGGCAGGGAGCCCCTTCCCTGGCTTCCCATGGCAAAGACTGCTCATTTTTTTTCCAGAAACCCCAGAGCTCTGCCCAGCAAGATCAGGTGGAGGCTGGGGCTGGGCATTAACCCCTCTGCAGGCCTACTTCAGCACAGGGCAGAGGGACTGTTTCACTCTGGTTTGCTTCCAGCACTGGGATGATGGAGCTGCATCCTAAAGGACAATGGCCATAAAATAAGACACAAGAAGTTCCAACTCACTGTGAGGAAGAATTTATTTACATTGAGGGTGGCAGAGCACTGGAACAGTCTGCCCTGCTCCAGATCGGAATATCTCCCTCTCTGGAGACATTCCAAACCCACCTGAATGCGTTCCTATGTCACCTGCTCCAGATGACCCTGCCTGGGCAGGGAGATTGGACTGGGTGGTCTCCAGAGGCCCCTTCCAATCCTGACAACTCCATCATTCCGCGATTATCACCTTTCAGGCCCAATTCAGCACAGGGCAGCACGGATCGCTTCAAACCCCTCCCACCCACTTCAGAATTTTGTTTCCAGCACCGGGATGCCGGAGCAGCATCCTGGTAAACAGCAGTGTCCGAGCCCCGGTGCTCCCACGCCCACACCCCCCAGGCCCGGGACAGCAGCAGGAGGCGCCGGCCGGGCAGGGGCAGGGACAGGGCCCCACTCACCGCGGATGCTCAGGAGCAGCTCCTCAAACGCGTCTCGCTGCCGCTGCCGCAGCTCCCGCGCCGCCGCCGCCCCGCCGGGCCCCGCAGCCCGCGCTGCCTGCAAGGGACTCACTCACCGCCCGCCCGGATGGGGACCGCACCGGCGGCGGGCCCAGGGCGCGGGGACCGGGGCAGGGAGGGAAGGGGACGTGCCGCACCGTCCAGCGCTCGGCCAGCGCCCAGCTGTGGGCGGTCCAGAACCGCAGGCAACCCCGCTCCTGCTCCCGCTCCGTGTCCTGCCCCGGCCCCGGGGCCTCCTCGCGCCGCCGCTTCATGCCCGCCGCCATCGCCCGCCGCTTTCCCGCCCTTCCCGCCGTCACCATGGCAACGCAGACGCGCGGGGCGGAGCGGGCGTCCCGCCGGGGAGGCGGCGGCCGCGGAGGGACAAAAGGCAGCGCAAGGCGAAGCCGCCGGTCACAGAGGCATAAAATATCCCAAGTTGGAAGCGACCCACTGGGATCCTGGAGTCCAACTCTTAGCGTAGCGCACGACACCCCAATGGCCACACCATGTGTCTGAGAGCGTTATCCAAACGCTTCTTGAACTCTGTCAGGCTTGGCGCTGTGACCACTTCCCTGGGGAGCCTGTTCAGTGCCCAACCACTCTCTGGGTGAAGAACCTCTTCCTGATACCCAACCTAAACTTCCCCTTTAGCAAACCCTTAGGGAAAGGCTGATTCTTGGGCAATCTTAGGGGGTTGGACTCCATGATTCTTCTGGGTCCCTTCCAACCTCCGGATATTCTGTGATTCCGTAATGTCCAAGCAAAAGCTCCCCTGGCACAGCTTCAGAGTCAGCTTCGCACAGTTCCTGTCACTGGTCGTCAGAGAGATCAATGCCTTCCCCTCCACTCCCCCTCGTGAGGAAGCTGTAGATTGCATTAAGGGCACTGTGAAGGAGACCTGGGACGGGTCCCGGAGGGTCCTGCACCGGGGGAAGATGGATGAAAGAAGACAACACCGCCCGCCTTGGCTCTCACGGTTTTATTTGCAGACATCATCAGTTTCACAGCCGCCCGGAGCCCCGTGCCCCCGGAGCCCCTCGGACAGCAAATCTCCACGCACACCTCCCCCACTCCTCACTTAATTAATTAATTAAATCATTTATTAACGGAGTGACCCCTCCCTGGGTGCCCCCCGCGGTCGGTGGTGCCGCACCCAGCACTGCTGGACGTGGGACACTCATCACAAGGGCTGCAGTTGCCGAGCGAAGGAGCGCTGCCCACTTGCCTGTTTTGGAGGGGTTTTTGGAAGAAAAAAGACTCTGCCTCCCAGCAGAGACTCAAGCATCACTTCCACTTTCCAGGTGTAGCTGCTGGATGTGAATGAAAGCGTTGACAGCCAGATGTGTAGATACCCAGGAAAGCGTAGCACCACGCTGCATGCAGAGCTCCCAGGATGCTTTCCACAACTGGGTCCATCCCCTTTTATTTTTTTCCCCAAATGAGGGACTGAGGCACACAGAGGTTAATAAAAAATAAAACAATCTTGCTCCAAGCCATGTTGCATGTCGAGTCAGGGTTCAGAGGAGAGAGCAGCACCCCCCCAGCCCTGTTCCCCACACACTGGCACTGCTGCTTCCCAAGGGGAAGGGGGAACATGCACACTGAGACTGGGACTGTGCCTTGGCATAAAAAAGCAGCCTGAAGTGTTGAGGGAAGAACAGAGATGGGACAGAGGAACGGGTGTGGGAACAGAGCCCTGGCCTCCCCAAAGCAGTGCCATCCCTTGGGACCATGTCAGCCCCACAGATCAGAGCAGTGGGATGCTCCCAACACTCCCAACTCTTCACAGTGGTAGTGGCTTTCGGTCACCATTTTCCAAGCAGCACAAAAAGACACAGCTCAATCCCTGACCTGTGCCAGACCATGGGACACACCGTCCACCATGGGCCTGAGCCAGGGAAGTTTCCCAACGGAGCTCTCCCCTGCCAAGGAACACACGCACAACACATGCAAAGCCCAAAGTGCAACAGGATTGTGGAGCGCAGGATGGAAACTACTCCGCTGAGCACTCTGTCCCCTGTCATGCTCAGCCAAGGGACATAGGGTCTAGAAACAAACCACTTGGAATAACTCCTCCAGGAGAGACGAGCAGGCTCCTATGGCAGGAGCAGGCTCCTTCAAAAGGATGTGGGGCAGAGCCTACTCCCCAGCATGCCAGGTTTCCCAAAGAGCCCTGGTTTGGACCAGCAGGCAGCTTCCTCTTGTGGTTTTAAATCAGCCCTGTCTGCTCGAGCATCAGCAGCATGCTCTGCTTCCAAGGTCGCCAAGCCCTGGACCAGCATTAACTCTGTAATCCCCAGCAGGCTCAGGAGAATGGCAGACCATCAATCAGCTCAAGGGCAGCTGGGGAAGGCTGACAAAGACTAAAAGAGTCAATGAAGGGAAGCAAGAGCATCTCCAGCCCTTGGAAAACTTGTCTTTGTGAACCTGAAATCTTTGGTGTAGCAGCCAGTCTTCCGTGGCCGAGCAGCCAGCACTCCGTGGCATCTCTGCAGTGACAGGAATGTACCTGCAGCTCTGTTACTGCAAGTTTTGTTTAGTCTCTGTTAAGATAAGTGTGTGTGCTTCAGTGACACTACAGCGCTGCTGTTCCCTCTGCTCTCCCTGGTGTCCCGGGAACATGAGCCCACAGCCACATGGAGGGGTGACAGAGGATGCTCAAGCACTCTGTAGTATTCTAACCATGAACAATGGGCATGGAAAGGCTCAGCTGCCTTGGAGTGGCCGGTGAAAGAGGAACTAGTCCCAGAGATGGGAGCCCAGGGGCCTGGGTGGCAGCGGCAGGGACATCAGGGGCCAGTTCTACACTATCAGTGACCACAAGGATTCTTGCCAGCACAAATACACACAGGGCAGCAAGCTCCTGACCAGGTTACAAGGTCACAAGGCGACTTATTTGGGCTCCAGCCTTGGGGTTTAGCAACATGTTATCCAGACTAACTTCACATTAAATGAACACTGGGTAGCTGCTACCTCCACCCCCTTCCTCCTCTGCATATGGATGTACCCCTCGCCCCTCAGCACAGAGAACATATGGCCAAGGAGTCACAGTTTACAGCAAATAACCTACTTCTGAGGGTGGGATTGCCTAAACCCATCTAACTGTGGGCTGATGTGTTTCTGCAGCTTCCAGCTTCCCCCACTACGCTGCTACCCCTTGCCTGTTCCTAGTATCAGTGTCATGCATCCAGGCAGTGAGGCAGCCCAGGGAGCGATGCCAGCTACAAACCAGTCCCTGGCTCAGTCAGGTGAAATTGAGGAGGACGGGCTCGCAGAGCAGGGCAAAGGAGAGGCTGACACAGGAGAGCACAGCCAGCAGCTCAGGTCAGGCAATGGAAACCCAAAATTAGAGCCGTTTAAGCCTTGCCAGAACTGCACCCTAACAACTCAGCAGGCATTTTGCAGGGGTAAAATACAAGACTCAACCTGCCCTAAAGAGCCATTTTCCACAGCAACTGGACACTTGGGAAAAACGGCAAGAACTCAGATGATGAGAGAGGTGACAAGACATTTTCCCTGGGACTCTCCAGGGCAGAGGAGAGGAAGAGCCTGGAGTTACACTAACAGTCTGCAGTAAGGAATTCAAACAGCGGTAGTCATGGTGCATGAGTTAAAAATTAATGGGATCAGACAAACATCAATACAAAAATCCCAGGCAAGCAGTCCTCAGCTCTTTCCAGAGCGAAAAGAGACAAAAGGTTTCATAGCACCAAGTAATGCCACACAGTGGTTCAGGGCAGTAAGGAATCCCAGCTCCAATGAAAACTGCAGGAGGAACTTGGCTGGGATGTGGCCACACATCATGGTCACTGTCCTCTACCTGTGCCCATAAAGAAAGAAACACCATGCAGCCAAGGGCAGTTTGGGGTAGCTCACTTGTGGCATGAAGTCCCACAGAGAATGCCAAGGCCAAGAGGGAGAGAAGTACCAAACACAGGATGATGGATGCAACTGGCTGCAGTGCCTAGAGCCCATAAGCCCAAGCACATACACAGACACCAGTGAATTAAACCACCTCCTTCAAGAACTGGTGCCTGCTCAGGGCTTTCAAGCAGCTGTTCCCAGGCACTGGAGCTCACACCAAGGCCACTCCTGCAGTAGGGACAGCTACTCTGGGCTCCTCTTTCCTCCTGGCCAGGCCCAATATGGGGGTGAGCCCATATTCTGTCACTACATCCTCTCTATCTTAACCATTCACAATTAACAGCCAGCATTCAGCAGCACACACTTAGGAAGAGATGAGGAGCCTTTGCTGCTACCACCCAGCCCACAGGAACCCTGACAGGCTGAGAACACGAGTGGAGAGCTTCTTGGTCATGGACACAGTTCTCCCTGCTACCACTGCCCCAAGCTAAGCCCTCTTCAGGCTGTACAAGGCAGCCCAGAGTGCTCTCCACTGCCCTTCATAGGGCTGTGGAGCACCAGGAAAACAGGAGTGAGTGTAGGGCAGGAAAGGCCTCACTACAGAGCAACTGACTGACTTTACAGAGGAGCAGCTGCCACCGAGGCCCTGGGAGCCATCTGCACATGTAACCACTTACACTTTGATTCCAGTGTGAAAACTGAATACGTGGCTGTGGGACATTCCCTCTCCTTCCCACCTTCTCTTCCCTCCTCAGCAGGCCCCATCCTATGAGTCTTTGCACAGGCAACGTGACATCCTGTTGGCCACCGAAGCCTTCCAGCTGCACAGTGGAGACAGTTGTCAGGAAAGCAGCAGCAAGATCCCCATTGGTGTTTCTCCAGAGGAGCACTCCAGGACTCTTTGTGTCTTGGGCTCCTGCAGCAGAGTCCTCCTGCTGCCAGCAAAGGCCCAGCAAGAGCTCTGAACTCCCCTGCTGAGAAACACCCCCGCCATGAGCAAGGAACAGGACTCCGGTCCTTTTCTACAGCGCAGAGGCGGGGAGCAGGGGATAATCCCTGACTGCTGCCGGCAGGCACTCATTTCTGGCGGCTCATGTATCCCTCCCAGCCCAAGGGAGGCAAGGGGACAACCACAGCCTGGGCCGACGAGCAGGTCAGGATCCCCATGTCTCCGGCGCTACCTGAGCCGGAGCTGGCTGAACCAGGTGCTGACGGCGCAGTCCACACGCATCACTAGCGAGATCCCCAGCAAGAGGCAGATGCTGCTCACCACGAAGCCCAGCGACTCGAAGAGGAACCTGCAGGCACAACAGAGGCAGTTAAGGAGGTCACAGCCAGCATGCCAACAAAGACAGGCTGCTCCCATCGCTCCCAGCAGACTTATTTTCCTGACAATGAGAGGCTAGTAGCACCCCACAACCTAAAACCTGAATTACATTTGCTGCCCAGCAGTTGCTGCCTGCAACCTGGAAGGCAGGCATGCCACTGGTTTAGAGGCCACTCAGGACCAGACTCAGGTGGGATTTTGAATCCCTCAGAGGCTGAGGCCACATCCCACACCTACTATTCCAAAGGTTTGCTAGTTCAGCATTTCTGGATTTACCACTTCTGGTCTGGTCCCTACCTTTGGCTCTCTGAGCTGAATATTCTTAGGTTCCAGGTGGGCTCTGTGTGTTCTTGGAATTAAGATGAGGAGAAATTTCTAGGCTCTACCTTAAGTCCAGCTTCTGAACTTCAAGCAGGAATTACTTAAGGACATTCCTACAACCTCTACTAGGTAAGAAGTCAGAATATCAATCACAGGGTCTCTTCCAATCTTCCTGTCTAGGAACTCCAGTTCATGTCACAGATATGAGCCTTACCCATCATCAGAGCAACTCCTGGGACTTACTTGGGGGCAAAGACCTTCCAGACCATGAGGTGCCTCCTAAGGATCATAGCTGCACAAACACAGGCCAGAAGCTGTGAGGAAGATCAGGAAAAACAAGTTACAAGTAACTCTGGGGCACTAGGCTCACATCCAAAGGTGGTACTAAACTGCACACACCTGAGAGGCTGGTGCAGCGCACACCAGTTACAAGCATCCCAAACAGGACTCCCTTCTATGTCCTCAAATCAAGAAACATGAGCAGCCTGGGGTACAGGCAGGCCCTTGTGGGGCCAGGCTGGGGCAGCACAGAGGAGGACTCACACCGTGCCTAACTTGACCTGCTGTTTCACTGAGAGGCACACTCCTGCCCTCCTGCTGCAGGGCCTGTCCCCTCCCTTGCATTGCCTCTGGTCTGACCACATAAAAAAAATTATCTGAAAGGATAAACCGCAGAAAGCTATTTGCTCCTTTCACGGGATTAATTTTCTGGTGTTTAGCTCCCAGTATCACCACAGCACATATGAAAACCAGAGCTGGAGTGAGATAGGGATGGTCGGGAAGAGGGGGAGCAGGATTACAGCCCTGCAGTTCCTGAACAAACATTCCCACTCTGGGCAGATGGGTATGAAAAGCAGCCTAATCCATACAGCGGCTTCCATCTGCAACCAGATGTATCAACCCTGCACTTGTCTGTGTCCTGGCTGACCCCTTTCTCTCATCAGAGTGACCCATAGTTCTCACAGCACACCAGTTGCCTCCTAGACAGCCTCTCCCACAGCCACCCTGCCTCTGTCTGTACCTGTGTCCCAAGCACAAAGAGGTACTTCAGCCCCAGCTGCAACAGTGCAGCGGAGAACTTCTCCGGAGACTCCCGCAGCCTCATCTCCATCATGTGCTCCTCCACCTCCTGCAGCTCCTCACGTGACTCTTTCTTGGGCTTCTTCCTCTGTGAGTTGGGCATCTCACACACAAAGGGCCAGAGCAGGAGCAGGGGGCAGCCAACTACCTCAAGGACAAAGGCACATGAAGTTACTGGAGCCCAGGAGGTGAGGAGCAGTCTAGGCTCTGTCATCATGCCCTGGATATGAAGTAAGCAGATATCCAGGCCAAGCTGCAGGCCACAGGCAGAAGGGGACAGTGAGGATGCTGCTGTTCAGCTGGTGCCCGAGCCTGCACTGCCTCGTGCTCAGCTTGCAGACCCCCAGGTAAGGCACAGCAATGAGCTGTGTCTGCTCAGGCACCACGGCCCAGGGAGAAACTGATTTACCTGCAAAGAGGATATGGGAGGCAAAGGTGTTGGCGCCCACCAGGACAGCAGGCAGGAGGTTCGTGCTGTGGTCAAGGTGGAAGCCGACAAAGGCTGCATTCCAGTGGATGGCTGGGAAGACGGGCTGGTGGCCTGTGGAATAGAAGAACTGGGAAGCAGCAAGAAGCCAGGAGATGACTGCATACCAGGGCACAGAAAAAGGCTCTGAAGGATAAAAAGACAAAAAAAGAGGCAGGGGGTGGGGATATCAGCATCAAGGAACAAGACAGATCCATGGTCAAAAAAAGCCTAGCGACCTTTCTTCCAGGTTCCCTTTCCATGCTGGCTCTTTTGAGAGACAGGAACAGCCCAGCTCCCACCACAAATGCAACAACGGGCAACCATTCCCTCTGCTGCCCACCCTGTTACTGAGCTCTGTCAGTAACAGTGGATTTGGTGACTGCTCACACCCTGGGCAGAAGAAATGGGTGTAGAACTCCTTTCCCTGACTCCCCTTACATTCATGTCCCTGCTGCATGCATCTTTCTTCTACTAGAGGATTTAAGTAGCTTTAAAAAAGCTAGGTGTATCCCCTGAGGATCAGGGCACCACCATTCCCTAAGAGCAGAGACTGGGCCCTTCCTCGCCCACTAGAATTAAGGCAAGGCGAGGACCAGGCCACACATCACATCCAGAAGTTGCTCTACTCACTCACCAGCATCTCCAGCAAGGCCTCTGGCACACGTGTGGATGTGCAGCAGCACAAAGGCCTCCAGGAAGAGGAGCAGGAAGGCAAAGCTCAGGCGCTCGCTGTGCAGGAGCATCAGGAGGAAGCCCAGGAGGGTGAGGGCTATGACCAGGGCTGCCGAGTACACACTGCCCAGCCCATACGCTGCGACCGTGGCCCTGCAGCTGCCTCGCTCCAGCCTGCTCTTCTGGGACTCCTGCATCCTCTTGTAGATCTGAGGGATGACGTGGAGGAAGTCGACTTCGGAGCTGGGAACCCCCAGGTAGGGAGTGACAATGGATCCTGCTGACTCCCGTGTGTCCTTTGCAAACACTGTCATGGGATTGCACAGCAGGAGCAGCAGTCCCACGGACGCCAGTCCATAGACAGCCCATGGAAAGGCAACAACTGCCACCTGCACCAGCTCCTGCAGCTTGCCCAGGGAGTCGTCAGTGCTGGAGGCCACAGCCCAGTAGCAGGCAATGCAGAGCACCACCAGCGGGAAGCCCCAGCGCACAAAGAGCACGAGGGGGTCCGAGCTGTTCAGGTTGCCGTAGTGCCGCAGCCAGCTCCGCACTGCATACACTAGCCCGGCCAGCAAGGCCACGCACAGGAGGTAGAAGAGGTTCTTGGCCCGTGTGTTTCTCAGGCTGGCAAGAGGGGAGAGGAAAAGAGAGGGCCGGCACTGAGGAATTTCTTCGCGGCACTGGTGGAAGAAACCGGAGAGGCGCACGCAGACCAGGAGCACGGCCACGAGGCACAGCAAGTACCAGATATCCTTCCGGTAAGAGGAAAAGCCAAGGAGCTGCTGCTTGGGGCTTTCTGGCACAGTCAGGTGACCGTCCCAGTGGAGCTTCCCTAACAGCAACATGACCAGCGAGGCCAGCAGGAACGGGGCCACCCGCGCCTCAGCCACGACAAAGCTGTCGGAGAACATGGCTCCACAGCGGAAGAACAGGATGCCCATGGGAAAGGCCAGCCCCAGCCATGCTCGCAGCCTCTGCCTCAGGCCACTGCTGGCCAAGGGTGGCTGACTGCCCACCAAACGGGCCCTCTTGGGATGCTGGACCCACCAGTGCCAGAAAAATCCCATCTGAGAAGCAGCGGCTGCCCATGACGACACCAGGAGAAGGTCCAGCCCTTCCTGGGTGAAAACGTGGGCCAGCCCAAGCAGAGCAGCCCCCATGAGGCCCCAGAGCAGCGGGTACAGCAGGCAGCTGCGATAGAAGGAGTCCGAGGATGCGGCCAACTCTGAGGCCACGTAGCAGAGCAAGCAGGAAGACGCCACAAGGATGCAGCCTCCCACCATACGCAGGGGATGGAAGCGGGCCCAGGACTGGGTGCACACAGCCCGTGCCTCCCGCAGGTAGAGCTGGAAGCGACCAATGAGGCTTCCCAGCCTGGATTCCAGGTCCGGAGGCACCAGCGTTGTTCCCTGCACCTCGGCCAAGAGCTGAGTGTGCTCCTCCACGGTGCTGGAGAAAAGCTCCTGCAGGTGCTGGAGCTGCTCTGCTGGCAGGTCCTGAGCCACCAGCGAGTAGGAGTGCAGGAAGCGATCCACCTACAGAAAAGGGGACACAGCATCAGACAGCAGCACTGTGACCACTGGGAAGAAGGATTCACTGCCTCACACAGCCCCTTCAGAATGGAAACAGCCCCAGTGTACCAACTCCTGCCAGGGCAGACCCTTCCCCAGCCACATCATCCTGGGCTGGTCACACAAATTCAGGATGTCACCGGCAGGAAACAGGAAACACAACCCCTCTGCCAAAGTGACATCCCTCTCAAGTGACGCATCCATCTTGACAGCCACACTTGATTCCACTTAGGACTTCACCTGCAGCTGCACCTCTGCTAACGCTGGGCATCACTACGGGCTTTTATATAGTCTTTGGCAGCAATAAGACAAACGTGCTCCGGAAGCTCAGATCATTATTGGCTCTTAATCTACACCCGATGTCGACTTTTGCAGTTTTGTCTGAGGACAAACATTAAATTAAAAAGCCTTTAGTGGATCAGACCTAACCGCTTCCCCTTCATCAATAGAGGCACATTAACCAACTGCACCACAGGCTTCTTGCTTCCTACTTCAAGAGTCATAAAAGAAGTCTTACAGGGGGATTAGCAGGGCAGGGCACCTGCACATACATCCAGCTGCTCAGCAGTGTAGATCTGCTCAAGTCCTGAAATGCATCTGTAACTCCACACACCTTCCAGTCACCTCAGAGCACAGGCAGAATCAGTCTGCCCTCCCATGAATGGCAGACGTGCACCAGCTCTCTCACAGGCCTGCGCAACCCTGCCCCTGGAATGCCATGATTCCTTCAACACCGACATAACTGATCCAGAAACCTCCTCAGACAAATGAGTGCAAATATTTAAACAGGCAGGACTGGATAATGCTGATTCCTAACAGATGACGATTGATGTCTTCAGTGACTAATGGACATGAACATACAGTATCATCTTTAAATGACAAGGCACTCTGCTGCTCTACAAATACAGAGCTGAGAGGCTGAATGTTTCCATCTTCCCATCAGCAGTTGTATTCTCTCTAGCTCCTCACTGGCTTGTACCAGTGGTATACAACTAGCACTCTGAGGAGCTGGCTGGGTGCTGGAGGAGTTATTCCTGTGCTCCCAGCAATCCATGGTCCCTCAAAGGCAGACTGGCCCTTAGCTGAGACAAATGCCTTGCAATGCCTAAGGCAAATCTGGCTCTGTAGCATGACCAGAGCCACAAGACAGAGCCTTCACATCCTCCCTAGAGGCTCTGACTTGGCCTGCTCCATTTCCTGGGCTTCTTTTATTTTTCCTTTTACTCTCATTCAAATTTTGTCATTCAGATCTTGGGGTTCTGTATTTTGTTGCACTTGGCGTAAACTGCTCCTTCTGTAACCCACTTCACTGTCACCTGTTAAATAGTATTTATTTAGTCCTTCATTACTGTTCTCCTTCTGTCACTGATCTAGAATAGCTTTTTAGTTAACACTGTTTCTCCTCCAAAACTGAAGCAGCATCAAAACCTCAATTTTACTCTTGAATCTCCATTCCCAAGACTTGCCCCTGGTCATCTTCAGCCTTGAGGAACCAGTGTCCTCCATTACCAAATCCACCTGAAATCTGGGGCCAACCCTCATCCTGAAAGGAATGCCACCTTCCCAGGCAGTATTTTCCACACCACAGCACTAAACACGTACCTTTCATTTTAATTTGGGGAAAATGGTGCAACCTCTTAATGGAGCAAACACTGCAAGGAAGTAACACCTCAAAACCAGTTGCCCTTTGAAGGTAACAGCATGTTACTACCCCATCTCCACAAAACAGAAGAGGTTTGTGCTTAAAAAGCTGTTCCTTCTCCCCTCTAGTTCAATGGGGGGCCTGCCATAGGCCGTACCTGCTTGGCGTTGATGTGATAGACCGAGAGCTGCTGCAAGGCTGCAGACACAGTGTCACCGTCCCCGGAGAACAGCTCAGCCATCACCTCCCCAATGTTGCTGTAGGGGATGGGCACACCCAGCAGCAGGGCCACAGTGGGCACCAGGTTCACCTGGGGAATGGTCTCAGGCTCCTGGAGAGACAGTGGAGGAATTGTAAATTCAGAAAGAACACGGCAATGCATCTTTTCACTCGTGTCAGAGGATGATGGGAAAGACATCCCTGTTCAAAGGTGAATCCAGGCAAAGGCACAGCTCTGCCCTCCCCAAGGGTCCTGCTGGGAGCTGCAGGTCAATGGGTACAGCCCTACACAAGCACCTCTCACAGCTGCAGGGGCCTGAACATGGGTCCCAAACGCTTCAGTCCCCTGGATCCTGTGTCAGCCCTTCCACTGTTCTCTCAAGACAAAGTGAGAGACTCCCTCATCCCTCTCAATCTAAATGATCCCAATCAAACTGTCACTCTCTGTAAACCCAGCATGCAGTTTGCACCCCGGATACCAAGGGTCAGCTTCTTCTCACCTCTGGAGGGCCACTGCCAAACAGGGGTGTCCTGCTGTACACAAACAGTGCTGCGTTCACTTCCTTCTCGCTATCGCCACCGTGGTCTCCAGTCTCTGTCATGCCATGGTCCCCAGCCACCAGAAGAAGGGTGTCATTCCCCAGGTGATCCACCAAGGACCTGCCACCAGGATAAGGAAGGTCAAGTCCTCCCTGGGCAGGAGCCCAGTCAGCCTAGGTGGGAGAGAACATGTCCCCACCAAGCCTGTCTGTAGCACAAAGGTGAAGCCCACAAAAGGGTACGAGCAAAACTAAGTGCTGATGCAGAGCTGTAACAACTGAGCCAGGGACCATGAAGTTTTAAATGGGTGCTCTAAAGCCAAAGTGAAAATTCAGAGCCCTGAGACAGAGTGGACTAATTTTTCTTAGATGCCCAGCAAACGGTGCCTCCACGGATCTTGACAAAACGCAATTCAGAGGAAAGGTTCCCAAGAGGAACACAATTTTATGCTGCTTCTGTTCGGGTCATGTATCATGTTATGTGAGCCATCTCCTACTTTAAAGGACAAAAGAGGGGATTAGTCCTTGAAGGATGCAGTAGGTGGTAGATATACACTGTGCTCTGAGATACAGCAGAGTAAGTCACCAACTCCTTGTAGCAGCAAAACTTAAAGCAGTCCTAAGAATGAAAAGCAGCAGCATTTTGGGCTGAGACACATCTGCATGGCTGAGATTTCTGGATCCCATTCTGCCCTCTGACACAAAGGTGCAACTTATGGGCCTGTATGACAAATGCAGCAATCCCCAGCCAGGGTCCTCCACGTGATTCTCAAACATTGCTAAACCTCATGTTTGCTCAAGTAGCCTTAATCTCCATGTTAAGGACAGAAAGACTGAGGCTCAGCTGTACTCCAGCTGCACTGTCACCTGATGGTTTGGTAGAGAACCAAGGCTCCAACAGGCAGCCTTACCTCTGAAACCAAACCTCTCATCAACATGCACCTACTCAAAGAGAGACTGCCCATATCTGGCCTTCCAGCTGCTACTGGCCAAAGCTGTTTTCCATGTTAACAGGGTCAGTAAGCATCCTCTGTTGCCCTCTGCATCTTGCTGGGAAGACTCAGGCAACCCCTCCCTACTGCATTAATCACCTGAGCATCTCATTCATCTGGGTGAGCTTCTTGGCCATCTCGGGGTGGTCGGGTCCGTGTTTGTGCCCACAGTGGTCCACTCCAAGGAAGTGAGCAATTAGCATGTCCCATTCTCCACTGTCCACTGCGGAACAAAAGCAGCCTTATCACACACCAGCCTGAGATTCCACACCTGGATCCTCCTGCCAGAGCTCCCTGATTGCCTCTGGACACTGCTGTTTCTTCCCCTCCTGCCACTGTCACTGCCAGCTCTCAAGCAGATTGGTGCAGGTTTTAACTGAGGCACACTCTTGTCTGCAAGTGCCTGGGTGTAATGGCACAGGGACATCAGAGCCAGTATCCCCGGTTTTAGCTCACCACCCCTCAGGACAGGAATGGCCCAGTGTCACCAAAGCTGTCTTGAAATACCCTTAACCCAAGCTGCCACAAACTGAGCTAAACCAATGGGATCCTCCAGAGAAGAAAAACCCAAAACTCCCATCCTCCCCAGAGATACTTCAGGTTGGACCCATGAATGTGCCCCTCTGCATCCCACCTGGCACATCAACATTGTCCCTAGCTAGAAAGTTTGCCCAGCCTCTCCCCTCTGCTTCAGGGCATTGACGTATGGAAACCAACATATTTGGAGTTAAATGATGAAGAACAGCTCTCCCATAAAGCACAAGGACTTCCCCGTGAAGGGCCACTGCACCCTTGATTCACTTAGAGTCAAACACAGAAAAAGGAAAGAGGATTTCCCTTGGTCCCAGGACCTCGAGGAGGTGGAAATCACCTAAAATTCACAAACTAATCTCACACTTCACCTTCTTCCCAGGATCAGGAGGTGCACAAGCTATGCTGAGAGCAGTGCTGTGTCTCAGCCTCCTAACTTGTCTATTTCCCAGAGCATTCTGTGCCTTCCTGGGCAGCCACAAGTCAAAATATAACTGCTCCTCCTGCTACATCCTGCCAGTGTATTTCTAGGACAGATGTCGAAGTCTAACCTCATCCCAAGAAGCTGAACTCCCTCCCAAATGGTGGACAGGTATTTATAGAAACAGTCTAAGGGCTCCAAGAGCTGGCTTATCTGTGGAAGTCTAGTGAGAGCACTGTAATCCTTGGGCAGCGGTTTGTGACTGCCCAGTGCCACGACATAACAGAAAAATCCTTCAGTCCGACCTCAAACTTGCAGTAGAACTCCCACATAATGTCAAGGGTTATCCAGGCCCTGGGGAAAAGGCTGCTTACCAGTTGGATAGAGATGCTGCAGGATCCCATCGTCCACAGTGTGAAGATCCTTCACATTAAAAGAAGGGAAGAAATACGAGCGGAAAAACTTCTTTGGGAAGAGTCCTTCCCATGTGTCATCACCCATGAAGACAACTCTCCTTCCTGTGAAACAGGAACCAATAAGAGACAGAGCCCATCTGAGTCATGCTGTTACCTACAACAATGCAAAGAGCCTGGGCAGACCCAGGTCAGGGTCTAGAGCAATGGCCCCTCTCCAAACCACACTCGAAACTGACCTAAAATTAAAATGACCATCTGGCTGTAAATGACTTTGAATACAGGGAGTGACCAGCCCTGTCTCTAAGCCCAGGAGCGTCCCCCACACCAAATCCACCTACACAAACTCATGATTTATTGCTGGCCTGACACATCACCCCAGCAGAAAGACTTGTGGGTCACAACATAGGTGGGTGCAGGAGGTGCAGCACAAAGCAGATAAACCCTCACCTAGGGCCTGTGACCCCACTGCAAAACAGGAGGCACAAGGTGGGAGCTGAGTAGAAGCCATGAGTCCTGGGCTCTGGCTTTTAAACACAACAGTGGTGGTGTTCCAGATGTGGAAAAGAGAAGGCAAAAGCACTGATGCTTCTTCCCTCTACCCTCACTCTGCTTGCCCTGCCTGCCACCAGCCCACCACACCTCCACAGTGCCTCTCCAGCCTGGGAGCAGGAACCATTTCCTCTGAGGTTGCTGCTGTGACACAGGGCCTACCAGTGCGTTTTGCCTCAGATGTTTGACTGTATTTGCCCACCTTGCTCACATGCAGTCCTGTTGCCTCAACCCAAGCACTGGTATTGGTGCCACTCTGAGCCCTGGGAGAAAATCTCTTTGGAGAACAACCCACTATGTCCTCTCCCTTTCCCTCTACTCCACCATCCCACTATAACAAACCCTTTACAGCTACACTGAGCACCCCACAGCAGCATTGAACTACACCAAAGATGCAGTTAGGTTGCTGCCTAAGAGCTGCAGGCAGCTGGCCAGGCAGGCAGGGTCACCCCCACAGCACACCTGGCACCACCCGGCACACCTGGCTCCTCCCTCCTCACACAGCACGACCGACTGCCCTGGGCTTCGTACAGCCACTCCTGGAGGTGACCTTGTGACAGTCACCATCAGAGCAGCCACCTTCACCTGCTCTCTTGTCATCTTTGAAGATGATGAAGATGAAGCCACAGTCACAGCTACTCCTCACTCCCAGCACAAAACTGTCACTGAGCAGGGCAAAAGAATTAGCTGGCAGAGTGGAGGTGTTGTAAGAAGTTCCCTTCCCAGTGAGAGAGGAATCAAGGTTTTGAACAAAGGTTAAGCTGAGCAGGGATTTGCAAATGCCCTGTCCCAGTGGGACATTGCCCTGCCCCACACAGGGCCACAGAATTATAGAATGTTAAGGAGTTAGAATAGACCTTAAAGATCGTCTAAGTCCCAATCCCCCCTGCTATGGGCAGGGACACCTCCCACTAGACCAGGTTGCTCAAGGCCTTATTCAGCTTGGCCTTGAACACTGCCAGGGTTGGGGAATCCACAACCTCCCTGGGAAATCCGTTCTAGTGTCTCACCACGCTCATAATGAAGAATTTCTTTCTATTATCTAATCTAAATTTCTCCTCTGTCAATTTGTACCCATTAGTCCTTGTCCTATCACTACAGCTCCTGATAAAGAGTCCCTCCCCAGCTTCCCGGCAGGCCTCCTACAAATACTGGAAGGTTGCTACATAGGTCTTCTTGCAGCCTTCTCTTCTCCAGGCTGAACAGTTCCAATCATAGAATCATCAAGGTTGGAAGAGACCTTCCACATCATCCTATCCAACCATCCACGTACCAATGTAACCCCTAAACCACTAAACCCAGTGTGAGATCCAGATGCCTCCTAAATACCCCTCCAGGAATGGTGACTCCATCACCTCCCTGGGCAACCTGACAACCCTAACAGTGAAAAAACACCTGCTTCTAACGTCTGACTGTCCCCTGCCTCAGCCTAAGGCCAGGAACCCACCGTTCTGCACCAGCTGTGCCAGCAGGTTGTCCTCCTGAATGGCGTAGGAGGCAAAGTTGCTGCCCACGTCGATGAAGGTGGGCAGCGACCCGGTGGTGAGGCCCTTGATGCGCTGCATGGTGGCGGTGGGAGGGTCGGCCCGGAAGCGGTAGAGCCGGGCGTGCCGGGGCTGGGAGGTGGCCAGGTGGTGCAACACCCCTAGCTTGTTCTCGTAGGGCAGCGGGCTGGCCTTGCCGGGGTCGAAGCGGGCGAACTCGAAGCGCAGGGCGTCGATGATGACGAGCACGGCCTTGGAGAAGCGCTGGGGCGCCCAGCAGGAGCCCGGCGGGAGGCTCTGCCCCTCCCAGGGCGGCGGCACAAGCGGGTCGGAGCAGGAGCTGCTGCTGGCGAGCTCGATCCGGGTGAGCAGGAAGCCACTCATGAAGAGCCCGATGCCGGCAAAAAAGAGAAAGCAAACCCAGGCCAGGAAGAGCACCACTGGCCACCGCTGCATCCTAGAGGGGAGGACAGGCAGGCTCAGGCCACGGCGGGCCGGGCACCACTCCCTGCCAGCACCCACCGCTGGCCCGACACCCCTCACACCCACCTCTCCCCCAGGACCCGCCGTCAGCCTTGACACAGCCCTTTACCCGGCCCCACACCATGTCCTGACAACCACTCTGTGCACCTCCTCATAACCCCGCCTGAGCGGGAGCCGTGTCCTGCTCCCTCCCGGCTGACCAGCGCCTCCCCGGCACCCCCAGCCCCCCTCACACACCCCAGACCCTCCCCTGCCCCTCTCTAACACCTCCAGCTCCCCCCATGCACCCCCATCCCCCAGGGCCTAGCTCTGACCCCTCCAGCTCCCCTCACACAGCCCAGACGCTTCCTGACACTGCCAGCCCCTTCCGAACACCCCCAGCTCCCTCTCCACCGCCTCACACCCGAGCCGTCCTTGTGCCCCGCGCACCCCCAGACTCCCCTCCGGCCCCTCACAGCCCCTGTGTCCCCCGACCCCGCTCCGCTCCCGCCCCACCTGCGGCCCCCGGCGCCCGCCGCCCCCGGAAGCGCCGCGCGTGGCGCCGACCGCGCTAGAGCGGCACAGCGGGGAGCTGCGGGGGCGACCGCGCCCCCTGGCGGCCAGGAGGTCCCCCCGCGCACCTCCCTCCGGGCGGGGCACCCCGAGCGGGCCAGAGGCGGTGTTTTAATTATTGAATTAATTAATTAATCGGCAGAGGCTTTCCCCGCCCTGCGGTGCGCGCTGTGAGGAGCCCTCTACAGAGAACGCACTGTCATGCATTGTAGGGGCAGCTTCTGCGAGACAACAGAGAAGGGGACAGTGACAGGAGCTGACATTCCCAGAGAAACTTCTCCCCCTCCCCCACCGTGAGAGGCATCCTTCCCATGAGCAAGGACCCGAAGTTCACAGTCATAGAATGGTTTGGGTTGCAATGGACTTTAAAGATCATCTTGTTCCAAACCGCCTTTTCGTGGGCACAGACACCTCCCCCTAAACCACTCAAAAGCCCCATCCACCCTGGCCTTGAACACTTCCAGGGATGGGGCACCCAAGCTGGGCAACCTCTGCCAGTGCCTCACCACCCTCAAAGTAAAGAATTTCTTCCTAATTTCTAATTTTTTCCTCTTGTGGATTGCTGTGTGTCCATGGGAGCTCCTGGCAGGAGCCTCTCGAGGATGGATGGCTCCCCTTTGGCATCGGACAGTAGGGTCAGGGCCCCAAGCACAAGGGAACGTGCTGCAGCAGCACCGGTACCATTTATTACATGATTTAAATCCAAATACAAAATAGGGACTAAGGGAAGAAGAGCATCTGACCGCGGCAGGACAGGCCTGCCAGTTGCGGAGCAGACCTCATGACAGGGAACGGGATCCTTCCAGCCCCGTTAGCTGGAGCTTCCCTGCTCTGCCTTCAGCATCTCCGTGGAGGCAGGTTGGGGCTCCTCGTGGGCTGAGAGCGTCTCGTCCTGGCTCTTCACAGCTTGTGGCTTGGTCAGTGTGGTGTATATCCCCAGGGCCTGGAGAGAATGAGAGAGTCATGAGGAGGGGTGGAGAGGAGAGGGTCAGGCCCCAGCATGCTGCCACCTTCACCTCCTTGGGGCAAGAATCACAGAAGGGTTTACCTCGGAAAAGACCTTAAAGATTGTCTTGTTCCAACCCCTCTGGGGGTTGGGCAGGGACACCTTTCACTAGACCAGGCTGCTCAAAGCTCCATCCAACCTGGCCTTGAACACTCCCAGGGATGGGACAACCAGAGTTTTCCTGGGCAACTTGTGCCAGCGCCTCATCACACTCCTAGTAAACAATTTATTTAATCTAAACCTACCCTCTTTGAGTTTGAAGCCATTCCCCCTTGTCCTATCCCTAGATGCCCTTGTACAAGCCCCTCTGAAGCCTTACTGTAAGCCCCCTTTAGGTACTGGAAGGCTCTCTCTGGAGCCTCCTCTTCTCCAGGCTGAACAATTCCAATTCACTCAGCCTTCCCTCATGGGAGAGGTGCTCCATCCCTCTAAGCATCTTGGCGGTCTCCTCTGGACTCACTCCAACAGGTCCATGTCCTTCCTATGCTGGGGATCCCAGAGCTGGATGCAGTGCTCCAGGTGGGTCTCACCAGAGCAGAGCAGAGGGGCAGAATCCCCTCCCTCACCTGCTGCCCACCCTGCTTTGGATCAGCCCAGGACACGAGTGACCACACTGACCTGTGCCACCATGTTGGTGACGTCGCCGGTGTTGGCGGGCAGCAGGACAGTGTTGGAGTCTTTGGCAATCTTGGAGAAGGCGTTCACATACTGCTCTGCCACAGACAAGGAGGCAGCAGCACTGCCGTGCTGGGGAGAGAGGGACACGTCACGTACCACCATGAGCTCATCCATGCCCACATCCCCAGCCCACCCCAGCTGGGACAGCAAAGATCCTCATTCCCTGCTGCTGAAAATGCCAAGCGAGTGTCCAAGAGAAAGTCAGGTGCCACCCCAGCCACGTGTCAACTCCCCCAGTGCCAGCAGCAAGACAGTGGCTGCCCCAAGGAGCTGTCACTCACCTGTTGTGACAGAGCAGCTGCCAGGAGCTGAATTGCCTCCGCCTTGGCCCTGGCCTTGACCAGCATGGCATTGGCTTCTCCTGCAAGGAACCACAGCAGAGCACATGTCAGAAACGCCACAAAGCGCTTGCCAGCAGCAAATCCAGAAAATTTCAAGGAGTGAATCCAGACAAGTTCATGCATGCATAGTCTTCTCTTCCCCAACAGCAGCATTGCCACACACCTCCAGCTGCCCGAGGCTGTGGCAGGGCAGCACCATGAGCTGGAGCTCAGCACAAAGGCCCCAGCAGGGAAGGACCAGCGTGGCTGAGGACACCTCGCCCACAGTGATGTGGTCTCTCCCCAGCAGCATCACCCCTCGGTCCAGATGGCTACAGATCCCTACATGTTCTACTCTAAGGCATTACCAGCAGCTTTGTTGATTTGTTCAGCCTTCTCAGCTTCTGACGCCAGGATCTGGGCCTGCTTCTGGCCCTCAGCCACGTTGATGGCAGATTCCCGCGTCCCCTCCGACTCCAGCACCGTCGCCCGCTTCCGTCGCTCTGCCTCCACCTGCAAACACAGGTCAGACACCAGCCTGCCATGACTGCACTGGGGCAAGGACACACTCCTGGGTTCTGCTGGGGCTGGCATGGCTCAGCAAAGCATACGAATGCAGCTACAGAACACCGCATGGTCCTGCTGAGGGCTACTTCTGCTCCTCAGGCCCCAAAACCCTTCCCAGCCCCATCCACACCTAACTGGACAGCTGCTTCCCCCTCCTCCCCTTCCAGCCTAAAGATCTGGTGCCCAGCTTTTCTCAAGAGGAGACCTTCAGCTCTGGGATTTGCTTCCCTATAGAGACCAGTGGGGATTTTACAGGGAGCTGGTAAGGATTGGGTGTACCAGGCAGGGGCCACCACTACCAAAATTAGGACAGGAATTATTTATTCAGTCCAGTAGCTGTATGTCTGCAACCAAAATGCCTCTCACCACAGGAAGGGCCTGTGATGCCAGCTGCGGACAGGTAACAATGATGCTGCGTGGAAGAGGAGACTTCCCTCCTGTTCCAGACCTCCCTCCCAGAGAGCCACACCTGCATCTGCATGGATTCCTTCACACGTGGGGGCACATGGATGTCCTTGATCTCGTAGCGCAGGCACCGGATGCCCCAGCAGTCTGAAGCTTGGTTGATGGCATCCACAATGCTGGCATTGAGGGACTCTCGCTCCTGGGAGGCACAAAGTAAATGACAGAGAGCAAAGAAGAGGTTCTTAGCATGAGACAGGTGTCAGGAGGGAAACAGACACCCTCCACCACGGGCCAAGATATGCCAGAAAAAAAACATCTCCAAAGGCATCAGGCAGGGTCAGGTGTTTCCTGCAGCTCTTGAAAGGGTCACCATCTCCTAGGGAGAGCAGGGCCCGCAGCTGAAACTGCTGGGATACAAACATCCAGTGTACATAAGGATACAACAGGAATGCCAACAACTCCAGTTTTTGCCCAGCAAACACAGCACAAGGACTAGGGCGCCCCATGAACCATGTGTCACTGGGTCTGAGCAATGAGTCACTGGCTCAAGAGAAACACAGGTGGACCAGCCAGGGCTGGGCACGTCCCACCCATCACCCCTTCCAAACAACCCAGGGCAGGGCAAAAAATAGCTCCTGTTAAAAAAAACAACGGAAACAAGACTCATCTCCGCAGATTCACCAATAGGTCAACTGAAACAGAAGCCCCCTCAGCAAAGGGCATTGGGCATTTTGCTATTAAGTGTATCAGCCTGGCCATGCAGGCTGCCCCATGGTTTCCAGAGACGGTGGGAGCTCCACGATCCACCTCCCCAGCTCACCCGGAATACTCTGTCGAGGGAGAGTTTGCCAAGTTCAGATCTCATGGTGGTCTGGGCCAGCTGGGTCACTGCATACTCAGGATCTTCCACCCCATAGCTGGCCTGGAGAGCAGAAGCACAAAACAGAGTGGATAGGGGTGCCAAGAGGGACCCTGAATGAGGCAGGAGAGACAAACACAGAGCCAAGACAAAAACACCCCTGCCAGAAACATGGAGTCTGAAGCCTTGGGAGGGGTCAAGGTGCCAAACCCATCCACCAGGCAGTACACAGAGGCTGAAGCACACATTTTGGGGAGCAGGCAGAACCAGGAGAGAGGTGTCTGAAGGGCAGGGATGGTACCTTGTAGGGGTCCATAACCCGCAGGTAGAGCACGCCGTCGATCTGCAGGGTGACATTATCTGCCAGGAGAGAACAACAGTTCCTGTTTACTGAAGCAGCAAAGAAAAAACATGGACAACCCTCTCTTCCTCAACAGAGCTGGGCAGGTTTGTCCCTTTCCTTCCTGGCATAGCAGCACAGCACAGAAGAAGGATTGGCTGAAATCGATCTCCTCATCTAAAGACTTCATAAAAATTACCTTAACGTTCCCTAGAAAAACATTACGATATTTTAATACAAAACAAGTCTCAGGTTTCCAGGTAGAAACATTTCACACTGTGGTTCTTGTAAATAAAGATTTAAGGGGAAAAAAATTAAACAAAACACTGAAAGCTAGAAATGTAACATCTGTCCATTTACATTAGATTCATTAACCTGATCCAAAATCTCTTTTACAGAGGTGTTTTAGGGGTTTTTTTGTGGTTCAGTAAAAGAAGACATCTGAAAAATGTATTCCTGGTCAGGTGCATTCAACCCAGCAAGGGGCAGCTGTAGGACCTCCTGGGGTGCCCCCTGCTTACAGCAGCAGCCTTCCAGCACCTAAAGGGGACACAAGAGAGCTGAAGAGGGAGCCTTCACGTGGATATGGAGTGGAAGGACAAGGGGGAATAGCCTTAAGCTGATGGAGGGCAGTTTAGATTACATATTAGGAAAAAATTGTTTACTGTGAGGGTGGTGAGGCATCACAGAGGTTGCCCAGAGAAGCTGTGGATGCCCTTTCCCTGGCAGTCCTCAAGGCCAGGTTGGACAGGGCCCTGAGCAATCTGGTCTAGTGGAAGGTGTTCCCACCCATGGCAGGGGGGTTGGAACAGATCTTTACAACCCAAGGTCCTTTGCAACACAAATCATCCTGTGATCCTGTGATTTTATGGCCAAGTCTGGGTGCCAAGGGATGGGGCTGAGTGCATGAGCCTGAAACAATTCCACTCCTTCCCACACTGCTCCTTGCTCACCCCAGATGCAGCAGAAGGGAAGGGGCAGGACATGGAAGCTGTTCCTCACCCAGTGTGACAGCTGACTGCTCTGGGACATTAATGACGATTTCTTTGAGACTCTGCACGTAACGAATCCGATCCAGGAGAGGGATGAGGAAGTTCAAGCCCTGAGAAGAGGGCAGGATTAGATGGGTGACAGTCAAACTAGAGAGAATTGTGCGAAGACCATGCCACACACTAGAGATGCTACAGGCAGAGCAAGCACACTTCACACACAGAGGGAATTTCAGTTTCTGAGTGCTTTTAACACCCCACCAAGGGAAATCAGTCCACAGGTAGCCGAGAGGATTTCAGTCTGGGAGAATGAGCCCACCACCCCTCCGACCCTCACGCAAAGGACGCGCTTCGCTACAGCTTTAGGAACCTGCTGAATCCAGAAGGGGAGAAAAGCTGCTCCTTACAGGCTCGAGGATTCGGTGGAACTTGCCCATCCTCTCCACCACCCAGGCCTCCTGCTGGGGCACGAAGAGCACCCCAATGTTGACGGGCAGCCCAGAGTTCCAGCGGCATGGAGCCGGGGCCAGCCGTGCCGCAGCCTTCAGCTGCTGGGAGTGCTGGGGAATAGAGAAGGAACAGGACTGAGACCAGCACCACACCTGCTCCCCTATCCGGGATCGTGGCCAGTGCACCAGGGCAGGAAGGAGCTCTGATGCCCCAAACAAGCCCATTCTCTAAGGGGACACAGGCTGTTCCCACAAGGATGAGGCTCAGGGCCCCAGGGACAGCCTTCTGCACAGCGCAAGGCAGCTCACTCCCACACTAGAGCTTCCTGCACATCTCCTCTCCTCTCACATTCCCCCTGGAACAGGCAGCAAAGCTCCCTGCCGCCACAAGGGCAAGGAAGGTATGTGTGGGGCAAGGAAGGGGTGTGTGTGGGTCTCTTCTGCCCACTCAACCCTATAACCTGGTGAGGCCTGTTCCCCCCAGCCCTCTCCGTCAACTCAGTCTCAGGTCACCTCTCTTCAATAACCTGTACATCCCCAGCTCTGGCTGCTTCCTGGGCTCCCTCCAAGTTTTCCCTGGGGATTCCCTGGGCACCCACAGCCCCTCATTCTCACAGCTCTCCCCTCACTCCCTCCCACACCTGGCTACCCCC